AAAGACCAAAATCTGAGATCAGCTTTTTAATTTACTACAATCAATTAAATACACTAAAGTAAAAGTAGAACGAGTGTAGGAAGAGAAAATAGAAACCCAGCATGAAAGAAAATTAGCTAATCAGCCAACGAAATGAACCGAGCATGGACGTGTTGCTTGGATCAAAGGATTACATTACAAAATGCAAAAAAAAGTTGCACTAATGGGAAGTAAGAACGAGAAAAAGAGTGTTTGAGAGAAGATTTAGACTAAATGGAAATAATAGAACACTGGAGAAGTGATGTATAATGCTGGAGTTCTGGATTTCATAAGAAACTATAATGATAACTATAGTGGGCAGCACAGAAATTTAATGACTAAATCAATAATCTTATGCCTTAGACTGAAAAACTCACATCAACAGATCAAAAATCAAAGCCATTCTGTTTGACAGGAAACAGGGAAATAATCATTGCAAGTTATACAGAAATTACAAAAATATTAGATTAAGTACATGAATTTGCGTACCTGTGTAGAATATTTATTAAAGATGGGAAAATAACATTTTAAGATGTTAGCAGATGCTGGCAGAGAGGCAGTTAATAGCATATTTTATGACATGAAAAAGATATTGAGACTCTAGAAAGAATGCAGGGAAGAGCAACAAAGATGATTGGGGAGGATGCAGGCTAAAACTTACAAAGAACAGTTGCAGGAATTGGGTAGGTCTAGTTTGATGAAAAGAGGGTTTAGGGGTGACATGATAGCAATGTGCCAATATCTAAGGGGCTGCCACAAAGAAGAGGGAGTCAAGCTATTCTCCAAAGCAACTGAAGGCAAAATAAGAAGCAATGGATGGAAACTAATTGTTGGTAGAGTCCTATAGAACAGGGGTCCCCAATCCCTGGTCCATGGACTAATACCGGGCCGCAGCATGCCAGCAACTGGTCCGCACAAACAAGCAAAGCCCCATCCATGGGATGCAGGCAGCACACAAAACCACGCGGGCCCCCACTCCAGTCCGCGGAAAAACCTCTCTCCAAAGAACCGGTCCCTGGTGCTCAAAAGGTTGGGGACCTCTGCTCTAAAACACCCAAAGGCAGGACAAGAAGCAATGGATGGAAACTAATCAAGGAGAGAAGCAACCTAGAACTAAGGAGAAACTTTCTGACAGTGAGAACAATTAACCAGTGGGACAGCTTGCCTCCAGAAGTTGTGGGTGCTCAATCACTGGAGGTTTTTAAGAAGAGATTGGACAGCCACTTGTCTGAAATGGTATAGGGCAGGGGTGTCAAACTCAATTTCATTGAGGGCCACATCAGCACTGCGGTTGCCCTTGGGGGGGCCGGGTGGGTGCAGCCTACTCGGTAGGCGTGGATGGAGTGGGTGTGGCCTACTGGGTGGGCATGGCCAGCTCTACATCATTTGCATCAAGGGTACCTGTGGGAGCCTGGGCAGGAGTGGGACAGATCTGAGGGTCTCTGGCAGAAGGTGGGACCGGGATAAGCGCCAAGGCATGGTCCATTTCTTCATTCCTCACAAAGGGTGACACCACCCCAGCATGCACCCAGGGGGCGGGGCCGACACAGCAGGGGCTGGTTCCTCGCTGTTTCTAGATGGCCTTATGGAGCTAAGACTGAATGCGTTTCAGCATAGATGGCCACCACAAAATTGTACATTGGCTCCCGGCTGGCCTGGGCCAGGGCCAAGGCAGCGGGGGCCGTTCCCTCACTGTTTCCAGGATGGCTTTGCAGACCACATGAAACCACTTAGCGGGCCGCATCCGGACCCCAGGCCTTGTATTTGACATGTCTGGTATAGGGTCTCCTGCTTGAGCTGGGGGTCCTATCCAACTCTGTTATTCTGTCGTTCTGTTACTCTGTTATAAGGTCAGTGAGCATGTACATAAAAGAAATCATTCTGACCACTTTGATATATGTGACACTAGTATATGCCAAGAGAAAAACAAAATACAATGACAATGGAAGACACAGTTCAGAACAATTCACTACTACATAAAGATTAAGTACAAAAGCGAGCGATCAGTATGAAAAGAGTATATTGTGGTGCTTTTTCAGAAAGTGATGAAGTGAGTAAAATATATATGGAAGAGCGAATGGGCCAAGAAGAGAAATACTGAGAAAGTTGTGATCAGATAGTGGTAAGATCCTCATGAGACGATGAGTTAAAAAATAAAATAAAGGCAATCAACTCTTCTGCAATATAGAAAGGTATGAAGAGGAATACTGAACAGTGTTGGTGCAAACTGTTTTTATATCTCATTCTGTTCTTTTTCAAAAAAATCCCCAATTATTTATTTTATTAAATTTATTTGCTGCCCATCTTACCACGAGGAGACTCTGGGTGGCTTACAAAATTAAAACATTAAAACATTAAATTGTTCTTATTGTGTGTCTTGTTGTGTGTGTTTGTGGATGACCATGTGTCTTTTCTCTGCTCTGCCTAATGTTCCTTATCCCAAAAGGCATATATATGTATGCAGAAATGTCCAGACAAACAACTTTCTACAGTACGAATGAGGAATTAATTTGTCAAGAGACAAAAATCAGCATTTCATGTTCCTTCTGGTATTTGAAGTCTTGCCAATTTGTTAATTGTATAATAAAATGGATTCCCTCTTTCATGGCTAATTGGTTGGGATTCATTTAGAAGCTAAATAAATCCTGAATGGCCCTGCTTAAAGGTGATTTGTATATCCTTAAGATTCTTTGGACATTAGCAAACCACTGGCAATATGCTTTCTCTTCAAACAAAAAACAAGAAACAAAAATGCACAGGCCCATTAAGACAGACAAGGGAAGCTCAGTATGCAACAGCAGCCAGACAGCTGTGAGTTCATTAGAGCCAAAGCAGCTGGTTCTTAATTAAGCAAAAAAAAGCTTCAATTCAGGCAGCCTGAACTTCCAAGGAACTGATTAATTTAAAGAAACTCAATTAATCAGTTTTTTTGAAGTGCAGGCAAGACTTCGGGAGGATGGGGGGAGGAACAAAACCAGATTTGGAGTTTTTAAAAGGGATTTTAAATTAAACACGTCCATGCACAGACTTGCATAGAATTGCAACCAAATTAAGCGGCACTCTGAAAAAGCCCTAATATTTGAAACCGGCCACACAAATAAGAAGCTATTCTCTGCTTAAAAGACAGCTAACTTCGGCATGACTTAAGGACAGGGGTGTCTGGGGTGAGCCATATACAAAAACAACTCTCTCTGGTTGGTACCACGGAGCACAGACTATTTCTAAGACATGTGCAACTCTGTCTTGAGAACAGAAACTGCAAACTTTGATGGATTTAACGGGAACTGCTACCTCTCCCATTTAGCAATTGTTTTTTGTTGTTCAGTGGCTAAGTTGTGTCCGGCTTTTCGTGAACCCCAAGGACCATAGCACGCCAGTGTTCCCCCCCCCCACCGTCCTCCACTGTTTCCCAGAGTTTGCCCAAATTCAAGACTACTGCATTAATGACACTATCTAACCACTATCCCCTTCTCCTTTCGCCTTCAATCTTTCCCAACATCAGGGTCTTTTCCAGTGAGTCTTCTCTTCTCATTTGTGGCCAAAATATCTGAGCTTCGGCTTCAGTAGCTGTCCTTCTCACAATGGATGGCTCAAATTCCAGGGACGAAGGAAAAAAAATCCTTTTTATGAAAAAGGGGCAGAAGCCATTTTATTAGCTCTGGGGGTGGGAATCAAACAGGTGTAGTGGATGGCCTTTTGGCCTGTGGCGCTAAAGGGGAGACAAACGGAAGGGACAAGAGAACTGCCCCCATCTTTAATTCAAGTCCTACACACATACGCACATACAAGCACCGCAGAAGTGACATCTAGCAAACATAACTCCATACTTGGTTTCCTGTTACATTTTTTAAAAAGCTGGACACTGCAAAAGGAATACAAAAGAAGAAGCCATCTCAATGCCAATACATCTTGAAATTATCAAGGCCAGCTTCTTTGAAGGACCTTACAGGTCAAAACCCCCTTAAGCTAAGCTTCTGCCTATCAAAACTTAAACCACATCCTACTGAAACAAAATGGCCAACCCTTAAAAACCTGTAATAATTCATTTTGTTGAGGATAAAACTGAGTTTTCTGTTCAATTAAGTGCATCCAGTTTTGGTCACCACGATGTAAAAAAGATGTTGAGACTCTAGAAAGAGTACAAAGAAAAGCAACAAAGATGATTAGGAGGCTGGAGGTTAAAACATATGAAGAACGGTTGCTGGAATTGGGTATGTCTAGTTTAATGAAGAGAAGGACGAGGGGAGACATGATGGCAGTGTTCCAGTATCTCAGGGGCTGCCACAAAGAAGAGGGAGTCAAGCTATTCTCCAAAGCACCTGAAGGCAGGACAAGGAGCAACGTATGGAAACTGACCAAAGAGAGAAGCAACCTAGAACGAAGGAGAAACTTCCTGACAGTTAGAACAATTAACCAGTGGAACAACCTGCCTCCAGAAGCTCTGAATGCTCCGACACTGGAAGTTTTTAAGAAAAGACTGGACAGCCATTTGTCTGAAATGGTATAGGGTTTCCTGCCTGAGCAGGAGTTGGACTAGATGACCTCCAAGGTCCCTTCCAACTTTATTATTATTGATCATCGCACAGTCAGCCAGATGTTCAGACTAGATTTGACATTTTGTCTATTATTATTATTATTATTATTATTATTATTATTATTATCGATCATCGCACAGTCAGCCAGATGTTCAGACTGGATTTGGCATTTTGTCTACCTATGGAGTCCTTACCCAGGACCTGGGATAGGCAGATGTGGATGTTTGATGGTATTACAGATATCGTCGCAGGATGGAAGCAGTTCCTAGTAAGGCCGCCTTTTGCAACTGACTAATAGTGAATTATTATTATTATTATTATTATTATTATTATTATTATTATTATTATTATTATTATTATTATTATTGGTAGGAAGACGGACTTGAACTCCTGAAAGTAGGATTTGGAAGGGTGCAGGTGTTTCCAAAGAGAATTCTTCTCTCATACCTCTGTCCCTGATCCAGACCCTGGAGAATCCAGTTTCCTTTTTCTTCTGGGTCCTATTGCAGCCAACGCAGTCAAGTTAGCATCCCTCTGTCGCATTTGTGCTAGTTCTTGTTGTTGCATCTGGGTTTGGCAAAACAAAATTGCTGTTATTTCCTTGCAGTTTTTATTCTCACTTATGCTTTTTTTTTTAATGCAATCACTTTTACATTGCTGAATGTATGTTCTGGTTCCAAAATGGTAAATATGGTTTAAACATACCTCCTTGGCCTTTTGTTTCAACCTAAGTTGCTCTGGATCTTCTTGTCTAGATCGAGACTGTGTTGATTTAAAAAATGGAGGAGAGAATGCGGGGGGAGGGAAGAAAGAGAGAGGGTCTTTTAAAATTACATTTTAAAATAACTTATAAAGTAATAGTCAATACGTTTATAAACAACATCCACTCACATTGTTACAAATAGTCCTCAACTTCCAACCCAAAACTGCAATTGTTGTGGTCGTAAGTTGAGATATCACATGACCAGATATTTGGCAGCAATCATAACTCCAAAAACTTGTTGTAAGTAACTCTGGGGTGTTTGATTATAACTTCAGTCATTAAGGGACCAGTTGTAAGTTGAGAACTACTGTAAATGGAGTAGGACACCTTGAGCTTTAAGAATAGATTAATGGGGCATTTAAAAGCAATTATGTCATTAATGCATAATCCGGAGAAGAAATTGTGGATCCAATTGATTCAGATCGAGCTGTGCACCAACTTTGTCTTCTGAATTTGCAACTTTGATTTTTACTTGTTAATTTTAACTTGTTCTTAAATTTCTTTTTAAACTGTGCTTTCATTCAGGTGTTTACATTGTTTTAATATGTTGTTGTTAACCACCCAGAGTCACTTAAATGGCAGATGGGCAGTGCAGAAATTTAATAAATAAAATATAGGTAGAATGGGACCAGCTTCAAGATTTTATGATAGGGGTCTTCAAACTTGGCCCTTTTATGACTTGTGGACTTCAACTCCCAGAATTCCTCAGCCAGTGTGCCTGGCTAAGGAATTCTGGGAGTTGAAATCCACAAGTCATAAAAGGGCCAAGTTTGAAGACCCCTGTTTTATGGGGTCCCAACAGCCTACATGTACCTGCACTTTGGTCTAATGATTAAGGCACCAGGCTAAAAAGTGGGAGGCTGTGAATTCCAATCCTGCCTTAGCTATAAAAGCCAGCTTAGGTGATTTTGGGACAATCAGTCTCTCAGCCCAACTTTATTGCGGGACTTCCTTAGAGTTGGACAACCTTCCATTGACATTATTCAACATTATATTCTGCCGAAAGTAGTTTTCAAAATATTTGGAAATAACCTCCAGACTCTGCAGGACACTAACAGTACAGATAGTCCCCAACCTATGACTGTAATTGAGCCAGAATTACAATTCAAAGTGGTGCCAGTCATTAAGCAAGTCATCACGTTATTACGCTTGATTTTTCAATCTTTCGCTAAATCAAGGACTACCCTTTTGTTCTCCTTACGGAGCTCTTTTATGACAAGGAATGGCAGCCGGTACCTCAACAGCAACATGCCGGTAACTAAGTTTGAAACAAACCAAGCTTCCTTACTCTTTTCGCATTCTCTACTCTTCCAATGACAAATATTACAAATATGTTTCATCTATTAAGCATAACACCCCAGAGCACTTGCCTTTGCTGCCCGCATTAATATTTCCCTTTCTTGTTCGTCTTTCCGTTGTTTTTCTATTTGATCAAGTTGTTCAAAGAACTTGAGTTGTGCCCGAACGTCGCTTGCTTGTTCATATCTTTCATCATCCTGAAAACAAGGTGATTTGCAATAAATAAATAAATAAATAAATAAAAGATGGGCAAGAGAAATTACAAAGCAGTATTTCAAATTGCATTGTTGGAAAAGAATGGAAGTATTTCGTTGACTGTGAATTCCCATTCTTCTCCAAAGTTGAGTCCAACCAGCTGGGAATACCCTGCTCAAGATCAAGATAATAAGACTCCTAGGTCAGTGTTTCCCAAACTTGACAATTTTAAGGCATGTGGACTTCAACTCCCAGAATTCCACAGCCAGCGTTGCTGGCTGTGGAATTCTGGGAGTTGAAGTCCTCATGCCTTAAAATTGTCAAGTTTGGGAAACACTGTCCTAGGTCTTCCAGGTAAGGCAGGGGTGTCAAACTCGCAACGTCACATGACGTGTCACGATGTACCGCGACTTTTTTCCCCTTGCCGGCAATGGGGAGGGCGTGGTTTTGCCATGATGCATCCGGCCCGCGGGTCGACAGTTTGACTGCCTGAGGTAAGGTGTCCTTAGGACACCAGCACAAACTTTCAACCATTATGCTTATTCCATGGTGACCTGCTGGGACTGGAAGAGCCATCCCCTGTCATTGTGTGACTATCAGATTCCTCAGCTGGAACTCATAATTATACATTAACAACTAATACAGCTGCCCCCAGTGGAGTATTTAAAATGAATCCTTTCTCCAGAGAACAGCTTTGATAGATCAGTGAGCCTACCTGACCATTGCAGCTCAAAATATTCAGAAATTCACAGTCATTAAAAAAATGGCAATATAGTCTTCTCCCCACCTGTGTCCAAGGGGCCAACTAACTACACATGTGCAAGAGCAATAGATCCTGGGTGAGCTCACTAACAAGCGTGAGCTAAGGAATTTTCTAGAGGATTCACTTTTTGAAGCACCTCTCGGTTTAAGTGAAAGTATTGACTTTATATTATATTAAAATATGAATAGAGAACTTGCTCTACAATTTTTTCCCCCAGAGAAACCATTTTCCTAAAGTATCCAATGCAGCTGTTGGATGGCTTCCAGACTGTGGGACAAACATGCCAAAGTTGTGCATTCCTTGACCTGACAACACTTTCTTGCCTAGTGAGTAGTTTTCAAGGATACAAATAGTGAACAGTCCTGTATGAATGGCCCCATTCTACAGGCTTGAGTTTTAAGGTCCAGCAAGCATCTGTCACTCCACCTCTCTAGGACAGTGGTTCTCAACCTTTTTAATGCCGCGACCCCCAACCGGTCGTAAGTCAAGGACTAAACCGGTCATAAGTTGAGGACTAAACCGGTCGTAAGTCGAGGACTAGCCAACTGGTCGTAAGTCGAGGACTTTCCCTGCCCGGGAGCCCCATGCATGCGTGGTGCCGCCCCCTGCGCCGTCCGAGGCGTAGTTGGCAAGCGGCAGGGACAGAGCAGGCCGACCACCGGCTGGGCCACCAGCTGGCCCAGCCCAAGGGAGGTAAGGCACCCGCCGGAAAAGGGGAAAAAATGGCAGACAGCCTTGCTTGGCGACCCCCGTGAAATAGTCGATCGACCCCAAATGGGGTCGCGACCCATAGGTTGAGAACCGCTGCTCTAGGAGAAGGTAGAGCACACAGAAGTTATTATTAGTTCATGGACCTTGCAGACTCTGGAGTTCACTATCGGGACCAGGGGCAGATCTGGGCTAAAGATCATCTTGTTCTTGTAAATTTTGCAAAGAACCTTTTCCATGGATAGGACCCCTAACTTAAAACACTTTGAAGACAGAATTCTGTTAGAAGTTAATGCCTTGCAAGAAGCCATTCCCAAAAACCTAACGGCATCTTGCATGGAAAAGCTAAGAGAGGAGCAGTACAGGTCACGAGGATGTGCAGGCAGTATGTAACAGTACACAAATGGCCAGAGCTGTGTGAAAGATTTAACTTGATAACCAATTTCAACAGTCCAAGGAAGCAATTCCCTGGTTGCATGTGAAATGGATGCACACATTTTACATGCAGGAGAATTCCTGACCTATTGATTAGAATAAAATCATTCTTACGGTTCAAGCTAATTTTTAAAATTGGCAGTCAAGTTAGTTTGAGATATACTGTATTAGATATTAAGGACATTTACCGGCAATAACTGTGCCTAAAACAGAATCTAATTGCTTTGAGGCCCAGACTGCATTTAAGGCCATTACTCAGAGCATTTTTGTTGTTGTTTTTAAGGCATTGCCAATACCTTCCCAATAAAGAATACGTCAGTTACCTTGTAAGAAATATTCCTTTGCTGGGCAGTCTCTGATACTTTCTCTACCAAGTTTTGTAACCTTTGTTGCGTCGCATGTGATACATAACTAACTACGTCGGGATGGATTTCCGTTATTCCATGCTTTTTACCTGAGTTTCCGAGAAAAAAAAATGGTAATGTACATAAGCCCACATTGATGAATTAGAGCTAACTTTTTTATCAGCAGCTGCATGAACTGATTTCTCTTTCCATGAGTGGCAGATGAACAGGTGTGGTGCAATTCCCAAAATATGCTGCCTTTAATGTGAATATTCTATCTGGAATGATTGATAGAAGAACTATGGAGGAAATTAAAGCTGCAGTTGTACAGTATTAACAGTATAAATAATACACTATTATTTACAGTATTAACCTTGTGAACTCTAAAGCTTCCTCCTTCCGTTATGTATTCAAAATGGACAGTGATTAATATTTATATGTTACTTATATGTAAGAGTGTAAGTCTATACATACGTTGTATATAGTATGTTTAAATGTGTGTCATGTATGTGTACACTTTGAGAGCAAGCAACTAAATTTCATTTTTAATGGGTGCCATTGTGCCCACAGTAAAAATGACAATAAAGGTTGTCTGTCTGTCTATCTGTCTGTCTGTGTCTGTCTGTCTGTCTGTCTGTCTGTCTGTCTGTCTGTCTGTCTGTCTATCTATCTATCTATCTATCTATCTATCTATCTATCTATCTATCTATCTACACCAATGCAATGGCAAGTGAAAAGAAGGCTTCTTCCAACCATCTAAGTGTACCAGAAGAATTTCCTGTGCAGGTGCAAAACCCCATATCTGTGAATGCCCAGTGACCACTGAGAATATGTAACATATTAACTGCCGCACAGTTCCCAGAGACCAGTGAGGTCTCACAGATTTGGCCTCCTTCGGGTCCCGTCGGCCAGACAATGTCGGCTGGCGGGCACTCGGGGAAGGGCCTTTTCTGTGGTGGCTCCGACGTGGTGGAATCAACTTCCCCCCGAGATTCGAACTACTCCCACCTTGCCGGCCTTCAAGAAAGCCATTAAAACTCTCCTGTTCCGGCAGGCCTGGGGTTGATGTCCCCACGGGGGCCGGGGCACAATTGGGACATGCTGTATGAATGCACTCATTTTTATGGTTATATTTATTGTTTTAATTTTGTACGCCGCCCTGAGTCCCTAGGGATTGGGCGGCATATAAATTTTATTAATAAATAAATAAATATGAAAGCTTCTTTTGTTCACTATAATACATGAAATACACAGCCCAGAGCCCCTCTGTGAGGGAGATGAGTGGTTAAGAAGTGTGAAATATAAATATAAAGTATAAATAAATGGCTGAATAAATACATGCACTAATGGGAAAGCCTATTCCAACCTCATTCACACCACAGTAAATCCCATTCTTTGATCCCTTCTGCTACTCACACCTATGTTGAACCTATGGAACATTATCTCTGTGTAAGTAAGATTGGTCCCCCATTTGATACTCTTTCAAAAGGCCCTGGAGATATGGTTTTGCCTATGGGCCTGGGAACCCCAGGGTGATATGGAGCCCATCGAGTAGTTGCTATGACTGTTGTTGCGAGAGGTGTCGGGGTATATTGTGTTTTGCATTGGGGTTTTATTTCTGTAGGCCGGGGGTCTTCAAACTTGGCCCTTTTGACTTGTGGACTTCAACTCCCAGAATTCCTCAGCCAGCGTGCCTGGCTCAGGAATTCTGGGAGTTGAAGTCCACGAGTCGTAAAAGAGCCAAGGTTGCCTACCCCTGGTTTAGGGGTAATATGTGGAACAGCCCTCCAAGCCAATAAATTATTATAAAGTGCTAAATACATTTCCTATTAAAAGCACAGATTGCTATAAACTATTAAATCACGCTGCTAGCGGAAACCCACCTATTTCTAATATTCTTCTTTGCAAGGGTGTTGGGAGAAGAAAAGTTTCATCTTTACACGACCTTGTTAAAGTGCCCACCAACTCAGAATTAGTGGCCAATATACGTGCGCTTTCTTCCGATAGGTTGACTCCTGCCATAGAGGCAACGTCGTTAATATCATCATCGTCCCTTCAGAAAAAAAAAAGAAAACATCTTATTAACACCTATAAAAAAAAAGTGCTATCAACGTGCCAAGAATTTAGAAACAGTTTGGCAAGACTAAACTAAAATAAACACCTTTTCTGAGGACACGAAGTGAAGAATAGACCTGGTATAGAATTCACAGGACCTCTCAGCTGGCTGGAATGACACTTCTTAAAGTGTCTCGCGTGTGTGAAATGGTGAGCTGTGGGTCCAAGGCAGATTTTTTGGGGGAGGGAGAGGGGGATTCAGCTCACTAAACTATTCAATGGCCAGCAAGGGGTGCTATTTCCTAACCTGGAAGCTAAAACATAAAGAGAAACTATCTGGTTTGTTTTCTCGTTAGTTGGCAATAGCAATAACATTTAAGACTTATATATCACTTCATACTGCACACTTTCTAAGCCAGTGTTTCTCAACCTTGGCAAGTTTAAGATGGGTGGACTTCAACTCCCAGAAGTCCACCGATCTTAAACTTGCCAAGGTTGAGAAAAACTGCTCTAAGCAGTTTACAAAGTCAGGATATTGTCCCCCCCCCCAACAATCTGGGTCCTTATTTTACTGACCTCAGAAGGCTGGAAGGCTGAGTCAACCTTGAGCCGGTATGGATCGAATTCATGGCAGTGAAATGCAGAGTTAGCCTGCAGCACTGCATTCTAACCACTGCATTAATTAGTCTTCATTTTATTATTTATTCTTTTGTTAAATTTATCTCACTGTTTTCTAGCACGATGTTTTCCTCTTCCTTTCCCTTCCCACTGGTAAAAACCATCAAATATACTCAGGTAGACCGCTCTGCAGCCAAAATATGTCAATTTCATCTCAAGTGAAAGTAACGAGGCAGGTCCTTATGAGTGGAAGAGAAGACAAGAGAGAGAGCAACTTCCTATTTCCGGTGGCCGGAGGTGGGAAAAGTTTCCCAGCTTTTGACATAGTTATACAAAAATGAAAAAACGAGATAAAAATAAGAGAGAGAAGAATTCCTTCGGATAACAGTAGCTCAGATTCATTACAAATACTGAACAGTATATCAATACTGATTTCCCTCTGCTTGGAGAACCCTTACTAAAAGTGTGTAAAAAAAAGACCACTTGATATATGACTTTTTCCTATTCTCCTTCCCCAAGTCACTCAATTTTAAAATTATTTTTAAAATCAGGAACAGCATTTAGGCAATGTCACCAAAAACCCCTTCCTGTCCCCCCCTTTTTTTTTTAGTAAACATACTCATGCCCACATATATTGCTCTTCTCCCTCCAAACACCTCAATGCATCCCTTAATGTCTCACAGAAGTGGGAATTGAGGACTTGGCATCCTTTTGCGTAAATCTCCAAACTCTTATGTATAATCACAGATAGCATGAACTAACCCAGCTTTCTCCAACCTGGCACTTTCCAAGTACATTGGACTACAACTTCCATCATTACTAATCAACATAGCCAGGTTATGTTGGAAAAACAGAATAACACAGTCGTAAGGGACCTTGGAGGTCTTTTAGTCCAATCGCCTGCTCAAGTAGGAGGGCCTATTCTATTTCAGACAAATGGCTGTCCAATTTTTAAAAAATCTCCAGTGATGGAGCACCCACAACTTCTGGAGGCATGTTGTTCCATTTATTTATTTATTTTTTAGTGTCAGGAAATTTGTCCTTGGTTCTACGTTGTTCTACTTTGTTGACAATAGCCCCAATTCCACACCATCAGAGGAAGAGAAGTTGAATGTTGAATTAAATGTTGAAGGATGGAGCCGAACATAAGCAAAGTAACCTTATCTTTTTGTGAGAAGTCTTCAAAGAGTCCAGAATTTACTTCCTAGAGTTACAAACTCTCTTTTGCAAAATAAATCAGGAAAAAAGGAATACATGGTACAATTTTTCTTCAAGAACGAATAAGATCACTTACCGAAAAGAACCTCCCCCGGGTTCTTTCAGTTTATTTTTCTGAGCAATTGCAGCTTGGGCTGAAAGAGTAGAAAGAGCTTTGGTTCCTGGTAATACTGTTTGCTTTACCACGGGGACTGTAAGAAAAGGAAATCAGCATGGGTGCTCCGTAGGCGAGATTAGCACACCAAAAACTGCAGAAAAATCTATGCAAATTAAAGGTGAGAGGTGTAAACTTGCTTATTACTCAGAATTTTAAGTAGCTCACAAATCCAAGCTTGCTTTGGGGAAGAATCAAGAAAAGGGAAAATTTAAACTGCTCTCTTTTGCGCACAAGATCTACATAAGGGATGCTCCAATGTTATAGCTCTGAGTTCGTTATTCTTTCTATTTGCTCCGTTGTCATTTCTGTACAGAAAAGATGATGGGGCAAATACATAGAATAATGAAATTAGAGCTATAATTGGAGCTTACAATGATTCTAATTGTAAGTTTATTCAAAGGAAGGGAAGGGAGGGGTAGAGAGGAGAGGAGAGGAGAGATTAAAACACACAATTCAGAATATGACCTACTCAGTAAGTAGCAGATGATGCAGTCTGTTCATTGACAGCCCAGACCATCTCTGTTAGCAGCATACTTTGATTTATTCCAGGCCAAAAAAAAAAATCAAGGGGCTTATTACAGGAGATGAGCAAGCTAAGCCCAAGGGCGGAGTTAAATGCATCATAAATCTGGAGTCATTATATTCCCACAAGAGACCCAGGTCCAGCCTCCCCGCCCCCCATGAATTATGGTGACCCTTATCTAGCACCAATTTGGCCTGACCATTAGAAGATTCTTGTGTATAGGTAGAGGTGTAATAAACTTCTAGTGCTTTGAACTCAACTCTCGCTCCTGGTTACTTGCACCTGACACGATTTCCAGGCGCAGTTTTACCAGCGAACACCAGATGGCACACCGAGAATGCTTAGCTCTTACCTGTCTGAAGTGCATTCAGCTGAATTTGTTGAGGAGCAGTCAACATAATACGATTGTGGGGTGGCCGCAAGGCCACCATGGGCGTCTGGGTCAATGTCACCTGCGGAGGCCTAATTAATGTACCTTGTTTTTGAGACTGCTGGATAACCTGGAAAAAGTTTGGAGAAACAACAATAGTGTTATTGCATTACCTGAGGAACAAGTTTGCATCTGAAAAGATTCAACAGTTGCTGTTCCTCCATTTAGCTTCCTTGAGAAAAGCTGCAACTGACAAAGCCTGGAACTTATCAGGGTGGGCTTTTGGGGGGGGGGCTTTTCTAGCAAGAATCTAGATTCTCGAATAAAAGCAAACAACTGGAGAAATGCAGTTTAAATCAAGGCAAAGATATGCAAGTGGTGTGGATATTCCTCATGTGGTTAACAGAACGCTGGTATGGGTCCAAGGTACATATTAGAGAATGATTGGATACATATTAGAGAATTAAATATTAAAGGGTTTTGAAGTGGTTTTGTTGTATGGTAAAGTAAAAGATAAAGGGGTCTCTTGAGGATTTCACTCCACTATAGTGGACGGTGCTCCTCTCTGTTTCAGCGCTATCTGAAGACGTTTCCACTGTCATGTGGCCAGCATGACATCACAGAGTGATGTTACCTTCCCTCTGAAGTGATACCTATTTATCTACTCGTGTTTGCATGCTTTCAAACTGCACGTTTGGCAGCAGCTGGGGCAAGGACAGGAGCTCACCCCATTGTGTGGCGCTCGGGTCTCGAACCTAGGCGGCCTGCTTTTCAGTTGAAAAACCCAACATCTTAACCGCCGCGCCACCATATGGTCATATGGAGCAAATTGTAAAAGAAATATATGGAGAGTGAATGGAAGATCAGTTGCTGGATAGAATCTTTAAGATGAAAAATGGTACCGATTTTAAAGAATAAGAGGCAATGTATGAACTAGCATCCAGAAGCAAGAATGATCTGCAAAGTCACACACTTGTGAAGAAATACAGCAAACAGTGTTCAGCTATAATCATTCTTTTTTTTTTTCTTTTCTTTTCTGACATGTTTCATTTATTTGGCTGGCTTTTACTTATGCCTTTTCTGCACTCTACATAATGATGAGGGGGTCCTATTATGCTGCTCCCTCCCAGATCAACATAATGATGTTGAGCAGGGAGAGAACAGCACAATAGGGATGTACGACTGAATGAACCATTCTTTTTCCCCTTATTGATAAGCGTCTAGAACACAGCCAAGATGACTTTTCAGCAAAAATGCGTCAGGTACGAAAAAAATTAAAATGCAAATCGTTTGTATCTTTGCTGACAATGTGTTTTCCCTGGTTGGGGGGCTTAACAGGGCTGTAGCCGAAAGAATTAAACATGCGTAGCAGCTAATTTGATGCTGAACATGTGGGATAAGGGAATGTGTTGCTTTCATATTGTACATAAATCATATTTATATATGCGTCACTGGTTAGGTTTAGGAAGGAAATGGGTTTTAGGTGCTGGGAGACCAAGAGAGACAGGAATCCAGTTCGGTTTACACACCACCTGCGTAGGCTGCCCTTGCTTGCCAACCCCCACTTGGGTTGGCTGTGTTAGGCTGATGACCGGCTGCTGCAAGGTACTCGTGACTGCGGCGGTGGTCTTTCCCGCCGTACGCTGGACCGAGCTGCTCAACATCACAGCGGTCAGAGCAGTGGTGGGCTGTGTCAAAGGCTGCTGTTGCTGGCTTTGCTGAATGAAAGCAGCCGAGTCGGGAGTCAGATGTCTCAAGGCAGGCAAACTCCGCTGTAAGATCAGAAAAGAAACAGATGCAATACCTCTTGGCAAGTGAAGAGAACCATTCAAATCACAAACTACCCACCCCCCACCCCCCAAAAAATTCCTTTTTGCATTGTTTATTCCACCGACAGTGGAGGTACCTAAAAGTGTAGTAGTTCAAATAACAAAAGCTTACATAAATGGCACTTTTAATGCAATATATTGTTACGAAGGGAATATAAAGTTTGCTATATACAGGTAGCCCTTGACTGATAACCAAAATCGAGCCTGGAATGTTGGTCATTGAGTAGTTGCAGCCGTTAAGCCGGTCACCCCATGACCTGACTTGATTTTACAATCATTGTAAAGCAAGTCATTGCAGTTAAGCAAATCATGTGGTTAAGAAGCAAATCCAGCATAGCCAATGGGCTTTTGGGGGGAGGGTATTTTCTGCAAGAAAATGGGGAAAAAAGTCACAAGCTGTGGTCCATTAATTGTGGGCTATTGCGAGCCTGTTGCCAAGCACCTGAAATCCGAACACATGACAGTGGGGGGGGGAGGGAGGCAGTCGTAACCTTGAGGACGGATCGTTAAATAGCTTTTTTGAAGTCCATCCTAACGTCAACAAGTCATTAAGCGAATGGTCTTAAGTGAGGACTACTTGTAATTGGGTACCAGAAGTTAATTTAAGGCTGTTATTTTGGGGGGGGGATGAGAGAACTGAATAATTCACAGAATAGATAGTCCTCAACTTATAATTTTTATGACAATTTTTTACAGTGTGTTAAGAGGATCACACCAGCCATTAAGCAAATTCAGCTTTCTGAAAGCACAATTTTTTTTTTTTGCTGGAAATCAGCAAAACAAGGTCGCAAATCATCACCCACATGACTGTAGCACACGGCAACCGGTCGATCGTAAATGCAAACTGGTTGCTAAGTCCTCACACTGTTACCACGTGACCTCGAGGGTGATGTAACAGTGTGGGTACAAGTAGTAAGTCACTTCCGAGGCCAGCGTAACTTGGAACCATCATCAAACAAAGCTTCATAAATTGAGGACTGCCGATAGAATTTTTCTCTAGAGAATATGTAAATGGAATGACTAAATAAAATAAACTCTTTCTAAATTGAATCTACCACCTGGCTGCGATTTGTCCCTTGTTTTGGGCCCATGTCATTTTTCAATTCACTTTCAACCACAGATCCACTCAATGAGTCCCCTCTAAAGAAATGTCCTGAGACCCACCTGTCAGAAACCACGCACTCAAAAAAACCCAGCCAATTATCAATTGAGCTGATAATTGCTAATTAACATAAGCTGCCTGGAAAATAAGGTATCCCATTCAGAAAATGTAATTGATTTCCTATTGGCATATTCCCAACATTCAACAGGCATGGTCTCTCTCTCAAACCGTGTTTTTTAGCAGCAGCACCTTCAGCCTTCAGCTAGATCAGTGGTTCTCAACCTGTGGGTCAGGATCCCATTTGGGGCCGAACGACCATTTCATGGGGGTCACCAAACAATGCAGTCCGCCATTTTTTCCCCCTTTTCCTTAGCTGTGCTACTCCCTTTGATTCTATTGGCTTTTGAAAGCCAATAGAATAGACTCTCTTGAATAGAGTCTAATTCTATTGGCTTTCAAAAGCCAATAGGAATTGTCCAGGCTGTCTCTGCCCTGCTGAGCCCGCCAAAAGTCCCATTCTGCAAACGGTGCTGCACCAGTTGAGTAGTCCTCGACTTACGACCGGTTGAGTAGTCCTCGACTTACAACCGGTTGGGGGTCGCGGCATTAAAAAGGTTGAGAACCACTGAGCTAGATTATTTTCAATAGCTCTTCTCTTCAATAAATTTAAAAACCCTTCCCCTCCATAATGAGCTTCCTCTGCTTTTGACTGAGTATGGTCTCTGAACCACAATGTGTGGACTCAAGAGATCATACTAAGTCAAAGGAGAAAGGAAGCTCATTTCAGCAGTAATCTCCTATATCAAGGTGTTGTTTTTTTTTTTTTTATGGGGAAGAAATTCAATCATGTGAGCTCTATCTCAGGGATCCAAATTTTCTTCTATGGCAAGACTAGAGTCACACATTCATTAACCCCACCTACCAATCAAAAGCACATACTGGTTTCTGCACCCATTCCATTGTAACCATCACAAGAAGCATTTCATTACTCAGCTTCAAATAGGTTTCAGAGTGCAGAGTCCTAATTATCCGGACAAAGAGAGGAAACTGTACAAAGATTAATTAGGGGATAAATGCAATTCAGAAAAGCCAGCATGTCAATTATGCTGTTCAAAGATCCACTTATTGAACATTGTCAGTTACAGTAAGTCTTTTGCTAGTCTCCCCTACATTAGGACCAAGAGACAGCTCAACTATTTACACCCAATGATATAAGGTAGAATCATAACCTCTCTTCTTCACTTTTCTCAAAACATGCAGCGGGTGTTATTTAGGGTTATTTAAATAGATTTATTGTATGCGGCTGCCCAAATTCAGCAACAATCAATGAAACAACCACAACACACACTTGAAACAAAAGGGACATGGCATACATGGAGCAAAATGCAAATAAATTGCCACTAAAGAAACTCACCCAATACTCAGGCGCAAAGCTCAGGAGAAGAACCAGGTCTTTAATGCCTTAAACAGCTGGCACAATCAGGGTCATCCGAACCTTATGTTGCACCACTGGGGAAGTGCCATAACAGAGAAGGCAACCCCCAGGGTCCAATTAGGTGACATGGCTTGACAGAAGGGACCCTGCCAGACCTCATGGGACAAGCAGACAATCAGACAGACTGTCCTGCAAATAGCCTGGCTTACGAGAGAGGCTTTGCGGGTAATAACCAACACCCTGAATTGCACCTGGAAATCCACTAAAGAACCAATATAACTTGCAGAGTAAATGTGCTACAAAGGTGAAATGAAGCATAGTCATGACTATCCACACCGCTGTGTTCTAGACTAGCTGAAACTTCATCACAACCACACCCTAAAGTCCTTAACCAGAAAGGTACAAGCATTTAAACAAGCAGCAGAATAGATTAATATCATTATTTATGAATGGAAAACTTTTTTTATTTATAAGCAAAGCATTTACCGCCATAAAATATTTCATTTTTTTCATTATACATTGGCACAAATTATTGGTCCCATGAAAGCATATGTTGATGGTGTTGAAGGGACTGCTTATAACTTGCACATTTTTCAATATTCCCAACATGAAAACTGGTGTGTGTGGAATCAATCAAAAACTAAAAGAAAAACCATAGTGTACACAGACAGAAATGCTTAAGATTCTCCAACTTCTGACAAAGAATGGTTTCTGGACATAAGCACTGGTGTTCCCGTGTGAATCTCTTAAGACAGCCTGGAAATACTATAGATTTTATTACAACATTTGAGGGATTCAAACAAATATGGTAACATATATTGCATTGTAATTAGAGCCATTATCACATTGCTCTACAAACAATTCACAAAATTGACCTATCAATGCCCTAAGTTTATAGCAAACCACATTGCCCTTAATTATATCGAACTTGTATAGTATATTATACCAGGGGTCTCCAACCTTGGCAACTTTAAGACTTGTGGACTTCAACTCCCAGAATTCCCCAGCCAACATAGTCAGCTGGAGAATTCTGGGAGTTGAAGTCTTAAAAGTTTCTAAGGTTAGACATCTCTGCGTTATAGTTTTAAAACTTTAGCTCTTAGACACATGTACACTCTCTCACACATACATACCCTTTTTTAAAAAAAATGAAGTATACGTATACTCACTGTGTATACAATAACCACTATGCCGATTACATTATAGGTTTGTTACTTTATTCAGCATAAGACACTTCCAAACAATCAGCAATATTAGTTTAATATTCTGCTTACTACTATTTCTGAACTCAGTTATGAGTTTTTCTGTATCACCAAATCTTCCTATGAGTCCTCTACAATCTTGTCAAGGAAGAGAGGAATAATTATTCAGCATTTCTGTTAGCTCTTTTCCAGTGCCTTTGTTTGCAGCATCTTTCCTAAGAAGAACCAAGTTTATTGTTGCAGGAAATACAAAACTAATGAAAAGATATATTATTACCTTCAAGAAAGGCACAAGGTATGGTTGAGGTGAAGAATTAAGTTCCCGGTATAACCTACTGGTGAAATCTTCTGCTTCAATCTTTCCATCCTGTGAAACACAGTTCAAACTCATACTTTACAAGAGATAAATTACAATACTAAATCTTCCTATGTTTAACCTCACAAATAAAGATACCATAATTGTGATAATTCATAGCAACATTATACAACTTTCTTTCGTTAATTAATTGCCCTTGTCACCTCACGTTTAGACTACTGCAACGCGCTCTATATGGGGCTACCTTTAAAAAGTATTCGGAGACTACAGTTGGTCCAGAATGCAGCCGCGCGAGTGATAGTGGGTGCTCCTCGATACACCCACATTACACCTATCCTCCGTGAGCTGCACTGGTTGCCTATTGGTCTCCGGGTCCAATTCATGGTGTTGGTCATTACCTTTAAAGCCCTATATGGCTCAGGGCCAGGCTATTTGCGAGACCGCCTACTACCTCATAGTTCCCTACGTCCGGTTAGATCCCACAGGCTGGGCCTCCTTCAGGCCCCGTCGGCCAAGCAGTGCCATTTGGCGGGGCCGCGGAGGAGGGCCTTCTCTGTGATGGCGCCCACGCTTTGGAATCAGCTCCCCCCAGAGATTAGGACCGCTCCCACCCTGTTGGTCTTCCGTAAGCTACTTAAGACCTGGCTTTTCCGGCAGGCCTGGGGTTTATAAAACCTGACCCCTGGATGATTGTTTTTGTATTGTTGTTTGTTATGTTTTATGTGTTTTTTATTGTTAGCCGCCCAGAGTCCTTCGGGAGTGGGCGGCTTATAAATTTTAAAAATAAAATAAAATAATAAATAGTCTTTTACTAATTCAATTAAATATCTACTTTTGCTTAAGGGTGACACCTTACGGACTTTACTAAAATGAAAAAGGGACTATTAGATAAGTCAAACATTGGAGAGAACGGAAGAGAGACCCGCCAGTTCTTTTTTAATCCACGGGTCAGCATCATAACCTAGGCCAGGGGTCGGCAACCTTGGCTCTTTTATGACTCATGGACTTCAACTCCCAGAATTCCTGAGCCAGCATGGCTCAGCTTGGAAACCTCTCCCTTTCCCCTCAGCATGGCTGGCTCAGGAATTCTGGGAGTTGAAGTCCACGCCTCATAAAAGAGCCAAGGTTGCCGACCCCTGGCCTTGCAAAATCTCACAAAGTAACCCCTAAAACTGTCAAGATTTGGCTCTTCCAAGAAACTGTAAAAGGTTTAAAGTTATGGTTAAGGAGGTAATCTTTAAACAATATTGTGTTTTAATTTTTTAAAAATGTTATTGTATCCACAACATTGCTTAAAATCACATGATCTAAGCCATCCGTGGTTATAATCCTTATTTGAACAGATCCTATCGTTCTCTTACCAGCAAGTTCTGGACTAGCTCTTTCACATTAGCTGCAGTCTCCGTCGACTGCTTTCCAGAAGAGGCTAGTTTTATTAGCGTAGAGAGAAAATTCTTGCATTTCTTCACATTTTCCATGGTTTCCTATTAAAACAAATAAGGTAAACAGGTCAGCTTTTAAAATGTCAAGATAGGGGGAAAAAAACAGGTTCTGAGATCTAAAAGGGTGACTGGATAATCAACTTAAGGAAATGGGCATAGCTGTGTGCAGCTCTTTGACCCTCATACCATTTGTAAGGGTCTGACGTGAGTAAATTTAATAGTAAACAAAACAAAAACACCACAAGAATTTAAACAGACAATATATTACTTTTATAAAATGATAAAATGTGGATTTTGCTTACAGACTAACTTTATTGTCACTTTAAATGTACACTGATCAGCATACATTAAAATGAAATTGAAATGTTGCTGCATTCACCCCAATATACACTACATAAAACATGATACGTGGCAGGCCACATTAGTGAAGATTTTTGCTCTCATAGCACCCAGGTTAAAAAAAAAAAAGATGTTGAGACTCTAGAAAGAGTACAGAGAAGAGCAACAAAGATGATTAGGGGACTGGAGGCTAAAGCATATAAGGAACGGCTGCTGGAATTGGGTATATCTAGTCTAATGAAGAGAAGGACGAGGGGGGACATGATAACAGTGTTCCCGTATCTCAGGCGCTGCCCCAAAGAAGAGGGAGTCAATCTATTCTCCAAAGCGCCTGAAGGCAGGACAAGAAGCAATGGATGGAAACTAATCAAGGAGAGAAGCAACCTAGAACTAAAGAGAAACTTCCTGACAGTTAGAACAATTAACCAGTGGAACAACCTGCCTCCAGAAGCGGTGAATGCTCCAACACTGGAAGTTTTTAAGAGGAGACTGGACAGCCATTTGTCCTAAATGGTATAGGGTTTCCTGCCTGAGCAGGGGATTGGATGACCTCCAAGGTCCCTTCCAACTTTATTATTATGGATCATCGCACAGTCGGCCATAATAATAAAGTTGGAAAGGACCTTGGAGGTCATCTAGCCCAACCCCCTGCTCAGGCAGGAAACCCTATACCATTTTGGACAAATGGCCCTTCCAACTTTATTATTATTATTATTATTAGTAGTAGTAGTAGTAGTAGTAGTATTAGTAGTAGTAGTAGTAGTAGTAGTATTAGTATTAGTAGTATTAGTATTATTAGTATTAGTATTATTATCTTCGCTCCCATTGACATTTATAGCATCACAACATACAGATTAATCCTCGACTTACAACTCGTTCATTCAGTGACCCTTCAAAGTTGCAGCAGCACTGAATAATGACTGTTAACTTGGTCCCTCAAGCTTACAACTACTGCAGCATCCCCAGGGTCAGTGATCAAAATTCCGGCACTTAGCAACCAGCATGTATTTACGATAACTGTAATGTCATGTGATTGCTATGGGCAGCCAATTTCCAACAAGCACAGTCAATGGTGGAAGCAGGATTTGCTTAATGACTACATGACTCACTTAACAGCTACAGTGATTTGCTTAGCAACCGTGGGAAAAATTGTGCTTGTAGACCAAGGACTTACTTAGGGACTGTAGTTTCATACTTTTAAAGTATGTCATAGTCCAGGGGTAGGCAACCTTGGCTCTTTTATGACTCGTGGACTTCAACTCCCAGAATTCCTGAGCCAGCCATGGCTCAGCTTGGAAACCTCTCCCTTTCCCCTCAGCATGGCTGGCTCAGGAATTCTGGGAGTTGAAGTCCACGAGTCATAAAAGAGCCAAGGTTGCCTACCTCTGTCATAGTGTATATCAGAGGTCCCCAACCTTCTGGGCACCAGGGACCGGTTCCGTGGAGAGAGGTTTTTCCACGGACCGGAGGAGGCGTGGCTTTATGTGCTGCCTGCATCTCGCGGATGGGGCTTTGTTTGTGTGGCCCGGTTCCTGGCATGCCGTGGCCCGGTACTGGTCCACGGACTGGGGGTTGGGGACCCCTGTTCTATAGGACTCTACTAACAATCTCATGTTCCACACTGAACGTTTATTTGACGAGAGATTCTGTTCTTGACAAGCTAACAAGATCCGCCTTTTGACTAGCAGCAAAACTGCTATCAGCGTCTTACTGTGGCTGCTGTGGAGGTTGTTGTGGCTCCTTGCACCGTCCTTTGAGGGGTTCCAGTCTGCACAGCCGTTGCTGTTCCTAATGCTGTTGTTTGTGCAGGGCTGCCCAGAACAATCTGAGGCTGCAACATAAAAGATATCAGATTGGAGGTGGGGAGGGAGAAGAGGAAGGAAAAGAAATAAAGAGAGAATTCATTACGATCAGATGGTCTTCCGTAGTAGATCTCCCAAAACAGATACCGCTTTGCTGCTGTTTAATGCTGCTTAAAAGAAGGGCCACCAGATGGCACAAACTCCCATACATTCAACTGAAAACCTTGGAAGTGGATTTTAAAAAGTACTGCTTAAAATAGCAGAAGGTGGTAGAATTTGCACACAGAGCTGTAAGCAATTGCTTACAGCTGACCTTGCTTACAGCTGACTGATAGAGCCAATAAACTTGTTTCGCTTTCGCTTGTTAAGAACTGCCCCCAACTATGGGTCTGCTGGCCAAACAAACACACATAAGACATTCATCATGGACAGGGAAGGTGGATGATAGGTGGGAATGTTTGCTGACATGTCCCAACAGTAGCCTAAAACCACAATTTATGAAAGAAGGCACAACAATGTATTGGGTAGTTTAAAAGGTATTATTTAAAGGAACAGCTCAAACATATTTTCAGGCATGTAGCTTCCTTTGAGAAAAGCCTCTTCAATGGGTTTACTGCATGACAACTATCAAAAGTCCAAATGTCAGGAAATAATTAATTTACAAGCATTAATCTAAACCATTTGCAACATTAGGAATGGCTGCTGGAATTGGGTATGTCTAGTTTAATGAAGAGAAGGACGAGGGGGGACATGATAGCAAAGTTCCCCTATCTCAGGGGCTGCCACAAAGAAGAGGGAGACAAGCTATTTTCCAAGGCGTCTGAAGGCAGGACAAGAAGCAATGGATGGAAAATAACCGAAGAGAGAAGCAAGCTAGAATTAAGGAGAAATTTCCTGACATTTAGAACAATTAACCAGTGAAACAACCTGCCTCCAGAAGCGGTGAATGCTCCAACAGTGGAAGTTTTTAAGAAGTGACTGGACAGCCATTTGTCCGAAATGGTATTGGGTTTCCTGCCTGAGCAGGGAGTTGGACTAGATGACCTCCAAGGTCCCTTCCATCATCATCATCATCATCATCATCATCATCATTATTATTATTATATACATGAAATGAAATATAAAAAGGGAGTCATCTGCTAAGACAGACTGAAACAGAGGATGGATAAATATAAGTCGGCGATAACCATGCAGTCACAATAATGCCTGCATTAACCTGACACGGACAAATCCAGGTTTGTTGTTTTTCCCAAAGGTTTTCAAGCTTGCAATCTATCGGGAATATTTTTGTGCTGAATTTTATCTACTGTGAACAATGTCCAAATATAGGAACTTATGCTATCTAATTTACAAAGTCTTAGTGATTAAAAGTAAATATCTAAGAGGGGTTTCTGGAATATTACTTGTAATGTGTGTGAATTCCAGCTATAAGAAGATAATCTTACAAATCTGAGATTACACTTTAATAAAATGCCCAAACAATCCTGTTCAGCTTCCCAATCTTCATAGAAGCTTAGGACTTTTATTGATCAAAGAGCCTTACAAAGTTCCCAATCAATCTCCTTGTTCGGGATCCACTGCTACTTCAAGAAGTCAACTGCAAGCCTTTGCATATGGCTTAATAGCAAACCCATTTTGTATAGTAGGGCACACCTGTCTATTTGGGAGAATGTCCACTAACCTCACCAAGTATTTTTAGTTAACACAGAAGCCTGTCTGTGGAGATTCTCAGTCATCCAGGTCATGGTTGTCTCAAAGTTGCTTTTTCAAAAGGTAACTGGACTGAAGGAAAATTGGCTAATTGTTCCCTTCAGTAGAGTGTAGTGTGTAGGGTGTAGGGCAGGGGTGGGGAACCTTGGCTCTTTTATGAGTTGTGGACTTCAACTCCCAGAATTCCTGAGCCAGCCATGCTGGCTCAGGAATTCTGGGAGTTGAACTCCACAAGTCATAAAAGAGTCAAGGCTCCCCATCCCTGGTGTAGGGTGTATGGGATGGGATGGGATGGGATGGAATGGAATGGAATGGAATGGAATGGAATGGAATGGAATGGAATGGAATAGAATAGAATAGAATAGAATAGAATAGAATAGAATAGAATAGAATAGAATAGAATAGAATAGAATAGAATAGAATAGAATAGAATAGAATAGAATAGAATTTCTTTATTGGCCAAGTGTGATTGGACACACAAGGAATTTGTCTCAGGTGCACAAACTCACAGTGAACATATAAATAGCAAATAGGTCATAGGTCATAATTATAGTTACAATTATTAATCATAAGTTACAAACAACAATTGATAAATCATAAGAAACCAATAGGAGAAAGTAGCAGGGATATTTATAATATTATTATGATAAGTATCGGAAGGAATATCAGCTGGCTTTAAAAACAAAAATGAAACCACTTACCTGGACTACAGGTGGCCTCTGTAACGTTGTTGTAGGTTGTACAGTTGTCTGTGCCTGAGACACTTGTTTGATTATAGTGGTTGGTGCTACCTGCCGAGCAATTATAGGGGTTCCCGGTGCCTGCAAAAAGGTACATTCACCAAGAAGCAGTTTAATATAATTAAATAAAAGTGGAGTCATGAAATAATTTAGCAGAAAGAGGGACAGGGAGAACAGTACTTTGTAAAACTTGACTTAAAATAACATGCACTTTCTTCAGCTGCTTCTCCTTCAAAATATGCCTACAGCCTAACTCAGGGGTGTCAAACATCATACTAAAACTGTGTCCACCCAATTGCCGGCAATGGGAAAAAAGTCATGACACGTCGCGACATGTCACGTGACGTCGCGAGTTTGACACCTGTGGCCTAATTGCTATCTGATCTGTAGTCATTTCAAAAACGTGGTTTTTGACCTTTTTCACTAAGGTTTACGGTAAATATAAAAACCTGCCTGTGACAACACAATCCTACAGAGCATTGCAATTTTGCAAGCTAAAATCTGAACAAAGCTCTTTTTTTCCCCTGAGATTCCAGAGGTCACTGAATAATTATTTTTCACATTCAATGCAATTAATATAAAATAAAGAATACTAAGAACAGAGAACCGCTACATTCAAAGATGGATTAAATGCAAATGGTGGGGGATGAGGATGAGGATAAAGTGGCTTATGACAGTTTTTTGTTAAGTTGTGATGATGTCACAAATGGGCTCTGAGATAGGGGTCTAGAAAAAGAGGATTGGAAGAATAAAGCCATCAGGAAGAATTCCAGCCCACCAGGAAACTACGACAAAAAGTAAACAGAGAAGAAAAAGTATACCAGGGCCAGTTACTACTAGCAGACCTGTAGTATAATTCTCCTATTAGGGTTGCACCCTGCCCAAAGTCACATTCAACGGCCTTGGAAAAATGTTTAGCAAGCAAGAAAACATGGGTAGTTCTCAACTTACAACCACAATTTGAACTGGAACTTCCGTCATTAAGTGAGTTGGTCATTAAGCAAACCGTGCCTGATTTTATGTCCTTCTTTGCTATGGTCATTAAATGAATCCAGCTTTCCCCATCAACTTTACTTGTTGGAAGCACCTTGGAAAGGCTGCAAATACAAGCAAGTGACCTGGGATGCTGCAATCAGTGTAAATACATGTTGGGTTGCCCAAATTTTGACCACGTGATTTGTGGAGATGCTGTGATAGTCAAAAGCATAAGGATTGGTCCTGAGTCACTTCTGTCATAATTGTGAACGGCCGCTAAACAAATGGTTGTTAAGTCAAGGATTACCTGTATATAAAAACAATCCTGACCTCAAAATTGAAAGGACAAGTTGCAAAGAAACGCTAAGAAGGTAAATCAAAATCAAGCCATGATTGGGAGTAAAATTTGTTATGAGGTAATGTACACGATTGCTACAATATTTCAACATTAAATTCTAAAAAAAAAAAATCAAATCACAAAAACCTCTGTCTAAAATTTAAGACCAAAGCTGATTTCATCAGAAATTCTGACTTGATTCTGAGACCCTAAGCCAGGGGGTCTCCAAACTTGGCCGCTTTAAGACTTGTAGACTTCAACTCCCAGAATTCCTCAGCCGGCATGGTCAGCTGAGGAATTCTGGGAATTGAAGTCCACAAGTCTTAAAGCGGCCAGGTTTGAAGACCTCTGCCTTAAGCTATCAATTTGATTTTGATGGACATAAACACTTTTCCAGGCTGCAAGAAGTGTGATGGCATTGATATTAAGTAAGGATGCTACATATTTTATATTAATAATATAAAAGCTATCCTGTATACACTCAAAGTGAAAACTGGCACAACTGGGAAACAGAATATAATTAATTATTAAACGCAAAACTCTCAGCTAGGTACTTAAAGTGATCCGCCCTAGCTTCCATCCGCATCTCAAATGCTTTGAACTGCTTATGTCCTTGTGATGTGGCTAAATATCCCAGCACCTTTAAAATCTTAAATGTATGGAATTTTTTTTTTAAAAAAAAAAACTATATAAAGCACGCAAACTTTTTTTTTCTTTTACATTTGAGGAAATTGGATTTACTAAAAAAACGTGGACTGTTAAAAGCAAAGGATAAACATACAAACAAAAGCCAGTCAAGAAACCCCCTAACTGTCAGAAATTTCCTGACAGTTAGAACAATTAACCAGTGGAACAACCTGCCTCCAGAAGCGGTGAATGCTCCAACACTGGAAGTTTTTAAGAAGAGACTGGACAGCCATTTGTCCGAAATGGTATAGGGTTTCCTGCCTGAACAGAGGGTTGGATTAGAAGACCTCCAAGGTATTTGTATTGTGTTGTGTTGTGTTTTGTATTGTGATTTGTGTTGTTTTGTATTGTGTTTTGTATTGTATTGTGTATTGTATTGTGTTTTATATTGTGTTTTGTATTGTGTGTGGTGTGTGGTTGGTGTTGTGTTGTGTTGTGTTGTATTGATTTCCCCCAAAGGTTCTTGATTGCAATTTACTTCAGAATTAGAAAATGCTCAGCACCAACTAAGTATTAACAGGATGTCCCAAACTGGCTCTCCTGATTATTAATTACTACTAATTATTATTCAATATTATCATTATCACTGAAAAGCCATTACAAGATAAATGGGACTGAAGCTTTGGTATTCAATAACCACAGGCTTTCCCAAAAGAAAATCAAAATAATCTTTAAAAAAAAGTAATTAGAAAATAAAACCTTCAGTCTACAGAAATAGATAACACCTTCTTTTCCCTGGCATGGAAATTCTTAACTCTTTCATGCCAAAAAAATTTTCTATTCTATTTTTTCTATTCAAAGCTATATGCAACTATCATAAGCTGATAATTTGTGAAGCTGTTTAGAAGAAGAAGATATCCAATTCTCTTCACACGCTGCAACAATCACATCTCTCTCTCTCTCACACACACACACACACACACACACACAAAGAGAGAGGAAGGAAGGGAGGGAGGGAAGGAGGGAGGGAGGGAGAGAGAGAGAGAGAGAGAGAGAGAGAGAGAGAGAGAGAGAGAGAGAGAGAGAGAGAGAGAGAGAGAATGAGAATAAATAGATCGATCGATCAGGGGAGCAATTCTGAAAAGAGACATAGTAAAGTAAACTAGGGGAACTACAGTATTTTTCCTTTTAACTTCCTAGGGTTCCTTCCCACTTATTTAAAATTTGAAGCCAAACAATCAAAATCAGGAATTATCAATATATCATTTTTATTTGATAATACATAAGGTAATATGTGCTTAAGGATTGATGTCAAGAGTGGTCATCCTGGAATTAGTTTGACTTCCTTCTGTAGTTTGTCAACATGCATTAACAAAAACCCTTAAAAGACCTCAATTCTAATGGGAGGAAAGAAAGACAAGATGGATGGCTTCTGTGTCAAAATCAAAACAGAGAGTGCTAGCCATAAATATAATCTGCTGGCGATATCACATGAAGAAGGAGGGCTTTTTCATACAATTATAATCAATATCAGCATTGATTCCCACACATAAAGTTTTTAGACATTTTGTAGTCCCTCACTTATAAGAGGTTCGGAAGATTCAGCTTGATAATAATACTGCAGATGGACACAAAATTGATCTTCATCGTTTTGCCCCCCATTTGGGCATTTGTCTTTTGAGGCTGAGGTTTTACTCTTTCTTAATACCAGGTGCGTGGTTGGATTATGAAGCGCCTCTGGCAGAATTGCAGAGGTTCTAGCAGAAGGAACCCAGGTAGATTCCAGCAATTAGCTGCTTGCTTTCCAGGACATCTTTTAACCCACATTTATGAAACTACTGGAAATGTAAGATTTGATTCCTGAAGGACAAGAAGCAGAACACTTGAATATTATAGGGCAGGGCAGGGCTACATCTGGCTAGCACAGAGAATACTTTTCAGAGGATCCTAGGATAAAAACAGGGTATAGGGCAGGGGTTCCTAGGCAGAACAAAAGAGTGAAAAAAGCCAACTCCAATAATGTCAGCCTCCCAAGTAGACCAGATAGGAAACATAACAAGATGAGCAAATTCTCCTTTATTATAGAGACTACCTTAGCAGAACCAAGTCTGAAAGTACAAATCTCCCGCCATCTCTTTTTACCACCTGATTAATTAGGGCGGATCCTTTCTAAATTTCTTTCTCCACCCACTATTTAATTGTGGGTTCCTCCCCCTTTTATCTGACCATTCCCTAAGTAGCATCTTTCCTCCCCATCTTCCAAGATCATTCTCACATTCCATTACTGATACCTTCAACGTAAGGAAGAATTTGAGGTATTATTTTACTTACATTTCTCAGGGAACTGACCTGCACAGTCGAGAGCTGGACCGGAGAAGCACTGGTAGATGTGGCAGGACGAGGAGTCATGGTCGTTTGAGACTGAGACTGTGCATGGGCTTGGGCTTGCATTTGCGCCAAAGCATGTTGAGGGATCATCAGTAACTGGCCACTCTCACTACGTACAATGACCATGCCTGACAGGAAACAGAGAAATCACCCATCAGAGTTGGTTTTAGAAAGGAAGTCAACCCCAGCTGAGAAGGAAGGAAGATGAAACAAACATCACTGAAGAGGCTAAGAGAAACATTGGTTGAGTTTTGATTAAGATACTGTTCCGAGGAGAAAAAGGATTACTTGGCCTTTAAACTTTATACTTCACCTCATAATTTGCAAGCAAATAGCGTTTAGATAGAGAGCCAGCATACAAAATTTATTTTGACCCAGTTTCAACAAAGATTAAGAGCTGCTGGACAGCTCTTACAACAAAAACAGAAATTTTCTTCAACAAAGCTTCCGTTGATGCATTCTGAGTTTCAGCGAGCGGCAATACTAGTTGACAAGCAACTCAATCTTAGCTCTCTCCTGTCTGCAGCAAAGTAAGTTCTACAGTCATTTAAAAGGTAAAAAAAGAAAATACATGTATGAACACTTGAAATTTTGCAAAGAAATGCCATGGAGAGGTCTTTCTGTCTTGGAAAATTGTATCTCTAAATAAGATCCTTCCTTCAAGATGTCCAATCTAATATACATGTGGACCACCCTTATTAACTGCATAATAACCACACAAAATAGCGTTAAGTTGAGGAATGATTGAAAAGTCTCAATGAGGGACAACTTATTTGTTAGTAGATTTAAATTCCATTCTTTCATCTACCATACAGTTCACTACATTTTGCTGGTTTCACACATATGTAAAAATATTTGTCTTGGAATGCTCTCCCACTTTTCCAATACTTTACTCCCTTCTGAAAAGAACAACTGGAGGGAAAAAAACCTAACACTGAACATGGTTTTATTCAACCAGCCTTAAAAGCCACCAGCCAATTAAACGCAAAGTTTCAGAAATAGAAACACAAACTTCTAAATTAATTTTCCATAACAGATTTAGTCACAAAAGTGGTTATAAAAACCATAACTGCCCTCCAGTGCATCTGTAACAGACGGTGCAGCACTGAATTACATCCCCAAAGAAAAATTAAAGGGAGGCAAGTAGGCTTGCCGTTCTCTGCTCAGCTTCATAGATCTACAGAATGAGCTTACTACAATAGTTATGGGCAGGGAGAAGAAGGAAAAGCTTAAAAGTCCATGCAGCGGCTCCAATTCCGAGGAGCAAAACTGGAACGCAGCAAAATTAATACAGTTAATTCATTTAAATGGAAATAATTTAAAATTGCATATTTATTACTGTGGGTATAAAACAGCTATTACAGATTGATTTTTTTTTATCCTTTCAAAGCATAATGCATTTCACACGTTCCACACAAAAATAAGTGAAATATAAATAAACGAAGGTATGTTAACGTATGTACAAACAAAAGTCTAGGCTAGGGATAGGCAACCTTGGCTCTTTTATGACTCATGGACTTCAACTTCCAGAATTCTTGAGCCAGCCGTGCTGGCTGAGGAATTCTGGGAGTTGAAGTCCACAAGTCATAAAAGAACCAAGGTTGCCTACCCCTAGTCTAGGCCAGGGGTCTTCAAACTTGGCCCTTTTATGACTTGTGGACTTCAACTCCCAGAATTCCTCAGCCAGGCACACAAGTCATAAAAGGGCCAGGTTTGAAGACTCCTGGTCTAGATCTTCAAGTTACTATTCATTCCATGCAGATAACAGTGGTAACAAAATTGGTGCCATAAGAATACCTGCTTTCATTTGGAAAATCAAAACATTTTAAAATGTAAAAGTTTAGTAAGAGAGCTGAATGTTCTTTTGCTATTTTTTTAAAAAAGTGCGCTTATTGAGGAGATCTTCCTAGAGAAAGGGGGGGGGCTGATCAGATTAGGTCTTTTGAATGGAAATTGGATTGTTCTAACTTCTGAGAATGCTCCAAGATCAAAACAGCCCCACTGTAACCTCAACTCATTGGAAACACAACAGTCCGTTTTAAGCTTTATAGAAGCATATACAGGTGATCCTTGATTAATGATTCGTCATTCAAACTTGCAAAGGTTACTGAACAAGGGCTGGTTATGACTGGTCCTAAGAGTTCTGGCCGTCGCAGCATCCCCACGTTCACATGATTGTGATTTGTGGTCTTCCTTGCCAGCTTTCCACAAACACAAGTCAATGGGAAGGCCAGGAGGAAGTTGAAACTCATGGACACACAAGGTCTTCACTTAATAACTGTGCAGCCCACACTTAACCGCAAGTACCAGGACTGCTGGAATTGCCGTCACTAAGGGGCATGATCATGTGACATCACATTTTATGACAATTCTGATCCCGGTTGCCATTGTTAACCAAGGACCAGCTACAATATAAGGGTTGGAAGGAGACCTTCAAATCCTTCCTCCTGAGTAGTGCAGGAATTCACTATCACAGCCATCCAGCTTCTATTTAACAGGTTGCTCATTGTTAAACAACTTTTATTGTTAGGAATTGTTCTCTGATGTCCAACAAAACTCTTTTATTCCCTTGAAATTTATTTATTTGTTTGTTTGGTTGGTTGGTTGGTTCCATTTCTATGGCTGCCCAGTTCAACATGGGCTGTTATTTCTTCCCCTGCTTTCTGAAACAATTCTAAAGAATCCGTTATGATCACCCTTCAAATTCTTATCTAGTATTGCATTTCCATTTTCGTTTTCTGCATGTGCAAACCTGCTTTTCACACTTAGCCACTTTTTTTTCTCCCCTGGCCACGCTCCTTGCTTAGTCTTTCCCTCAGAACACTCCTGCCACTTCCCTGTAACTGTGGATAGATTTTTTTTGTTGTAACCAATAATAGGAAGTTTGCTTTGTAAATTGCTTAATTGAGATTCTCTCATCTATTTAATAAATCTTTTTTGCACCTGATTATTTCCTCTGATCCTTTACCTCTTCATTTTGTGTGTATTCACCAGCCCTGCACATGCAGCAGGTTCCTATCTTTATCGATGTGTGTGCACATTTTTAGAAACTTTCTTCCACACATTCCAGAACTGAAACTATGCCAGCTAAAAAAGACTGTGAAACGGAGCTCGAAGGACGGGGGAGAGGGGGAGAGGAGAGGAGAGGAGAGTAAAGGAAGATGGGATGGGATGGGATGGGATGGGATGGGATGAGGGAAGGGAAGGAAAGAAAAGGAAAGGGAAGGGAAGGGAAGGGAAGGGAAGGGAAGGGCAGGGAAGGGAAGGGAAGGGAAGGGAAAGAGAAGAGAAGAGAAGAGAAGAGAAGAGAAGAGAAGAGAAGAGAAGAGAAGAGAAGAGAAGAGAAGAGAAGAGAAGAGAAGAGAAGAGAAGAGAAGAGAGAAACTTGTTTATGGGAAAGGAAAGTATCATGTTTATCATTTTAAGTTTTGAAAACAGGTGCTTTCTAGGCTAGGACCTGCCACAGCAGAATGGGCAAAATTTAATTTGCACAAAGGGACTGCATATGGCCAGAAATATTGTCTATACAGTGAACTGGGCTCCTTAATTCTGTTACAGGGTAAGCTCATGCTTGCCAAGCATAAACGAAATGCATCTTGCAGGAGTGGAAAGCCACTTTAATATAGACTGCATTTTTGATGGCCATTGTAACTAAATCTTGCCTAACAAAAGCTCAGGTAAAAATTTGTCGATATCTAAAAATATGTATCTAAATCTTCTACTCTTAAAACTAAAGAAGTCCTTAAGAGATTAGTAAAGCTGAAATACCGATCCAAATGCACCGCGCTCAGAAATTTCTATTTTGCTACATTTCAAATCCACAGCTACTTATTTGTTAAAACAGCTATTTACCAGCAAGAACAGAACAGGCCAGCAATTCAGAAAAGTGAACCAAACATGATAATAGATTTAAGCCTACACTTTTATTCTTGCAGAATATTACTACCATCACTTAAACACTTTAACAGCAATGCAGCTAGTCCTCCTTTAGCAACCACAACTGGGATAGGCAACTCGTTAAGTAAACCTGTCTCTAAGTAAAACTAGAACTGTGCTTAGGAAGCTAAGATTCAGATTTCCTTAGTTTTACAGACCTGAAAAGTTTGTAAATGTGAGAATTGGTCGTAAACTTACCATTTCATCACTGCCATAATTTTGAACAGTCACTAAACAAGGCCATCCTGTAATTTATACATCCATTCACTTTCCAATAAGATATAATCATCAGTACTCTACTGCTATATATATAAGCCAGACTGGCTAATCTCTGTATTAAAGAATAGATGAGCATGAACCACATAAAATATGGAGATATCCAAGAAACATTTTTCCTTCTACATGCAATTTTCCTCTGACTTCACAAATTACTGTCACCACCACAATTACCCATTCATAAATAGATGTATATATACATGCACACTTGATAAAAGGTCACACACTTGGCAATATATGAAAGCTTATACTATTAGTTTTATGCAAACCACTGAGAAAATTCAGTGATAGCTGATATAACAACTTTAATACACACTCACACACAAAATGTAATCTTCCCTAGAAGGATTTCTTTGTTTGTTCCGATCCACCACTAATTTTTCTGGAGGAAATCACCAGAATGATTATTTTGTTTCGAATGCTGGCTGAATACAGTAATATACACTATGATTAAAATACTGGAAACCTCAGAAAAAAAGTTTTAAAAACAGTTAAAAAAAATAATAGGTTTAGGATTCATATTTTTAAACATGTTGATCTACATCACAACTTTCAGTAGCAGTATAAACAACAAATAACCATTTCAAACATGATGCAAACTGTATCATATGTGTCACAATATCACTGCACACATTATGTAAAAGGCATCGTCTGTGAAATAACATTATTACACAAATTGATATTAATAGGTCTGAGGAAAACTGGACTCCTTTGTGCCAAGTCCATTGCATCAGAGTATGCTAAACTGAGATTTTGCTGTCTCACAGATAATACTGGAAGCAAAACATGCACGGCTAAATGTTCCCACTCCCGATTTTGATGCAGAAATAACTTCACTTCACTAGATTATGCTTATCAGGTGCAACAAGTTGAGAGCTACTCTAAACCAATGTTTCTTGACCTTGACAACTTGGTT